CTATCATTATTATTCCTATTTGTTATTTAAGTTTTTAACATTAGCGTTACTGATTTAAGATTAACACACATTTACTAGTTCCTTGGTTTCTCTCATTTTTTCTTTTTTCATCTTAGATCTTCCATCTGTGATCATTTACTTCAACTTGAAGCCCATTGTTTAGAAACTTCTCAAGCAAGGATCCTTGGATATACAATGTATTATTTCTTAATTGTTTCGAAATATCTGTGGTTTATGCTTGTTCTTAGAATAGATCTTTACTCTTTACAATCTTAGATTTACAATTATTTTCTTTCAAACCATTGAAGATATTGTTTCAATTATCTTTTGGTTTCCAATGTTGCTTCCACCTAGTCAGCTCTTAGTTAAATCTTTGTAGATTATATCTTTGTACATCCTGTCTTTTCTTTCTGGTTCCTCTAGAGATATATTCTTCATCTCTCATGTTTTTCCATGCTCCTGTCATGTGCCCAAGTATAAATTTATTTTTATTTATACTGACTGGATTCATTAAGCTTTCTGAATTTGGAAATTGAGGTGTTTCACCGTTTCTAGAAGTTTCCCAGTCATTATCTCTTCAAATATTTCATCTGCTCTATTTAGTCCTTCTTCTACTGAATTTGATTAAACATGTATTAGAGATTTTGTCTTTGTATTCTGTGACTCAAAACCTCTTCATAACAGTTCCCATGTCTGATTCTCCATGCTGCATTATGGATAGTTTATTTACACTGTTTTTCAGTTTACTGATTCTCTCTTCTCCTCTGTCAAATCCAAACATATATAGTCAACTAATTTTTTACAAGAGCACCAGGAGGACAGTATGGGGAGCAGTTAGCCTCTTTAATAAATGGTGCTGAGAAAACTGGATTTCCACATGTAAAAGATTTAAATTGGACCCTTAGTTTACACTATACACAGAAATCAACTCAAAATGGGTAAAAGACATAAACATAAGACCAGAAACAATAAAGCTCCTGGAAGAGAACTTAGGGGAAATGTGCCTGGACATCAGCACTGGCAATGACTGCTTGGATTTACTTCTGGGCTCTCTCTTCTGTTCCAAATATTCTTGTTTGCTTTTTATAATCCTTTGCTAGTTATTCATATTTCCATTTCCTCTTTACATTTTAAATATATTGTAAATATTTATATTTTGTATACTATTCATAATATTTACAATATTCTAAATCTGTGTTTGATTCTGCAACCTGTTGTTTTGGAGATTCTAATTCTTGGTGGGTGCATTTTTCCATGTGTATTTTTTGATATTGTAAAACGAGCTTCATATTTACTTTTAAAACTTTAAATGTGAGATATTTTGAAATGTAATTTGAAGCCAAACTCTTCTAGAGAGTATTTGCTTTTACTAGGCACCCATAGCTGCTTGAATTAAATGTAATTCTTGGTTTGAAGTTTTGGTAACTACTCAAATGGTGTCAATTATGGCAGCAAGCCTGGTTGAGCCCTAAATTATTAGGACACATTTTTTTCTCTTTCATTCATCACCACGTTTTAAGGCAGTGATGTATTTTTTAGGCCCATAAAGTGGATGTTTATATGTAACTCATGCTACCATCAGGCAATCTAGTTAATGAGATATAAGCTTTAATGCTGTGGATTGACTTTTTATTGAATTTCCCACCTTGTGAGTCCTACCTCCTCTTGTTTTTTAAGTTTTGTACCCTAAGTAACCATGCAAGGCAGAAGCCTAAGATCAAATTATTCAGTGTTCAGTTTATCTTTCCAACTTCACTTTCAGCTTCTGATTGATCCTTACTTTCTGGCCAAGTTATCCTAGCATTTATAAAGATCTTTGCATATTTTATTCAGCATTTTAAAGTGTGTACAGGTTGATAGGGTGTTTGGTTTTTCATAGCTCACAAATGGAAAATATTAAACTCATAGTTCACAAATGGAAAGAAGAAGAGAAAGGTACAGCTGGACTAGAAAAATTAACTGATTAAGAATGCTGGAAAGTTGCTTAAAATGATAATGCAGTAATATAAAACAAAATGTGCAATGTTATATGAATTGAGTTCTTAGTCATAAGGACTTAGGGAAAATGGAAGATCTTGACTTCTGCAGTTACCCTGGTTAAGAGTAAAGATATGGTGGAAACAAGCATTAAGCAATGCATGACTGTATATTATGTACCTACTTACAGACGAAACACCTGCTGTATACAGACATTTAACCCTGTGCTTACAAGAGGTTTATGTCATGAAAATTGCTCTTATAGTAAGCATAATCAACCTGAGAAAAGAAAGGCTAACTATTTGTGATTTTAACAGTTAAGGAATAATTAAGTGCTAAACCTTACTGTACTGACTTTAACATCAGTAGGAATACAGAAACGGCTGAGCTTTTTGTAAGGCCACTTAGGATAAGGTTTTCTTGAAACAAATGGAACTTCATCTGGTGATATGGAAAGTTTGAGGCAAAATTGGGGACGGGTAACAAGCTATAATACGTCAAAGCTTGGGAATGAACACAAAGAAGAAATAAGCACAAAATGTCCCCAACTTGATGAAAGGAGAGGGAAACAGTGAAGCCCAAGGTTTTTGATAGTTTTTAATAATGTAGTAGAAAACTTAGAAACCATAGGAGCATTTTGTTAAATAGTCATGCACTACTTAACAACAGGGATATATTCTGAGAAATGTTTCCTTAGGTGATTTCATTGTTGTACAACCATCATAGAGTGCATTTACACAAACCTAGATGGTCTAACCCAGCAGTCCCCAACGTTTTTGGCACCAAGGAGCAGTTTTGTGGAAGATAGTTTTTCCACACACTGTGGGGTTGGGGATAATTTTGGGATGATTCAAGTGCATCCTGAAATTCAAGTGCATTACATTTGTGGTGCACTTTATTTCTATTATTATTATATTATAATATGCAGTGAAATAATTATACAACTCACCATAATGTAAAAATCAATGGGACCGCTGAGCTTCATTTCTTGCAGTTAGGCGGTCCCACCTGGGGGTGATAGGAGACAGTGACAGATCATCATGGATTAGATTCTCCTAAGAAGTGTACAACGTAGATCCCTCACAGTTCACAATAGGGTTCACGCTCCTATGAGAATCTAATGCCGCTGCTGACCTGACAAGAGGCAGAGCTCAGGTAGTAATACCAGTGATGGGGAGCTGCTGTAAATATAGATGAGGCTCAGCTTGCTGGTGCCTGCCACTCACCTACTGCTGTGCAGCCCTGGGGTTGAAGACTCCTGGTCTAACTACTACATGCCTAGGCTATATGGTATGTATTATCTCTTGTTCCTAGGCTACAAATGTGTAACGCATATTACCTTCTGAATACTCTAAGCAATTGTAACATAAGTATTTGTGTATCTAAATGTAGGTAAGCATAGAAGAGACAGTAAAAAATAAGATATAAAAGTTATAAAATTGTATACCTCTATAGGGTACTTAACCACAAATGGAGCTTACAGGAGTGGAAGTTGCTCTGGGTGAGTCTGAGCAAGCAGTGAGTGAATGTGAGGACCTAGGACATTATATTCCTGTAGACTTTATAAACACTATATAGTTAGGCTATACTAAATATTTTTAAAACATTTTTCTTTCTTCGATAATAAATTAACCTTAACTTACTATAATGTTTTTACTTTATAATATTTTAAACTTTAAAAAATGTTTTAATATCTAAAACACACATTGTACAGCTGTACAAAAATGTTTTCTTTCTTTATGTTCTTAATAATCTTTTTTCTGTTTTTAAATTATTAATTTATTTTTACTTTTTAAACTTTTTTTGTTAAAAACTAAGACACAAACACATACCTAGGCCTACACAGGGTCAGGACCCTCAGTATCCCTGTCTTCCACCTCCACGTCTTGTCCCACTGGAAGGTCTTTGGGGGCAATAACATGCATGGAGCTGCCATCTCCTGTGATAACAGTGACTTCTTTCTTTCTTTTTTTCATTTTTGAGATGAAGTCTCACTCTTGTCCCCCAGGCTGGAGTGCAATGGTGTGATCTCAGCTCACTGCAACCTCTGCCTCCCAGGTTCAAGCAATTCTCAGCGTCTGCTTCTTGAGTAGCTGGGATTACAGATGCCTGCCACCACGCCCGACTAATTTTTGTATTTTTAATAGAGATGGGGTTTCACCAAGTTGGCCAGGCTGGTCTTGAACTCCTGACCTCAGGTGATCTGCCCACCTCGACCTCCCAAAATGTTGGGATTACAGGAGTAAGCCACCATACTTGGCCAACAGTGGCTTCTTTTGGAAGATCTTTTGCAGGACCTAACTGAGGCTGTTTTTACAGTTAGCTTTTTCTTTTCTTTCTTCTTTTTGAGTAGAAGAAATACACTTTGAAATAATGATAAAAAGTATAGTATAGAAAATATATAACAGTTGTGTTATGTAACATAGTTGATGTTTGCTATATGGACTGTACATACATACTTCATATGACCGGTAGATTTGTTTGCACCAGTATCACACCAACACATGAGTAATGCTCTGTGCTGATACTACATCACTAGGCAGTAGAAAGTTTTCAGCTCCATTGTAATCTTATGGGGCCACCCATGTGTATGCAGTCTGTTGTTTATTGAAGCATAATTAGGTGATGCATAACTATTATATATTAGACAATACAGAGATATTGAAGACTCTTGAGGAGAGGATTGACATGTTTAAAGTTATGTTAAAATTTAGCCTCATTGGGGGCTGGGTGTGGTAGCTTACGCCTGTAATCCCAGCACTTTGGGCAGCTGAGGGGAATGGATCACCAGAGGTCAGGAGTTTGAGACCAGCTTGGCCAACATGGCAAAACCCTGTCACTACTAAAAAACATACAAAATTTAGTCAGGCCTGTAATCCCACCTATTCAAAATATATTTTGTTAGGAAAGAACCCTTTTATTATTATATGCTCTTTATTAGATTATGTAAAAAAAATGATATATAAATTTATATGTATTAATATAACATAATAACGTATATAAATATATTTTTGTTGTTTTAGAGGAATTCCAGGGAAGAAATGTGGTATAATCATACTTACGGCAGAAGAATTAAACTGTTGCAGGGTAAGTAAATATGTCTTTGGCTTAGAAAAATTTTCATACTTCAAATGCTATATCTAAAATTGTACTTAACTAATTAATTTTTAAGTGATTGTAGAAAAAGTATTATACAATTTTATAATCCATAAAATATCATTTTAGATACTTAGTCTTGTGACCAGAGAGAGTTTTTCGTAATCTGAAAAGTATAGTGAATTATTTTAATAACCTTTTTTAAAAATTGAAGTATTAAAACCTAATATCAATACTGCTTTTTAAGCATTAGTATAAGGAATTGTCAGTTATACCAATCAGTTTAATTACTGTAAAACCACTGAAGACTTGTATATAATTTTGAAGGAATATTTCTTGTCATTTGAGTTTAGCCCTTTTGTATAACATATTTTCCCCAATTTTTCTGATTTAATTAATTCAGAATTCATATTGGTTCCATCTCTTGTTAGCTTGGGAATTCCACATCTGGAGAAATGATTAGCTGCCACTCCAGCTAGCAGTATGATTGCATAGAGTGCATACTCTGTATTTTTAGAAGACTGTTAATTTTAGTTGTGATTTGCTGATGAACCCATTGACTCGTGTTTAATGATTTCACTGTTGTCAAGAAATGGGGTGATAGCTATGACACTCCACACTGAAAGTAATGGTGGCTAGCTGAATCTGAAGTCAATATCACCTGTTTAATGTGGGCCAGCAGATCTCTGGGAATTGGTATTTCCAGAGGAAAAAATTTTTCCCTAGATTATACCTCTAGTGCTCTTTATTTTTAATTGCAGGAACAGAAACTCACCCCAAATACCAAAAGCTTAACATGTTGATATTGACCATAGTTTTTATATAGAGACCATAGCTTATTTTATTATCTCAAGAAGTTGCCTTTTTAACTTTTAGATAAATTATATGGCTTTCTTATACAAATACGTTTCTGGTCAGACATAGTGGCTCATGCCTGTAATCTCAGCACTTTGGGAGGCCAAAGTGGGAGGATCCCTTGAGTTCATGGCTACAGTGAGCTCTAGTTGTGCCACTGCACTCCAGCCTGGGCAACAGAGCAAGACCCTGTCTCATTCATGTATGTATTTATATGTGTGTGTGTGTGTGTGTGTGTGTGTGTGTGTGTGTGTGTGTATACACACACACACACACACATTCTGTATCTCTCAAATACAGATAGATGACAGATAGATAGCTGAGACAATATGCTCAGGAAATCATATGATATTACTTGTCAGCAAATGTTATAAACTGGATATTCTAATTTATTACATACCTTTGGGATTCTGGGGGTGGGGGTAGAACAGTGAGATAACAATAGAAACTACAACAGGTGAGTATAAATAATTAACCACCAATATTAAAATTTAAGTCATTATAAATATATGTACACTGAAACCTTCCTATTCTTCTCGTTGTTCTTGTCCCCCTGGGCATGTCACAGTCATATCAGCCTCAGTTTTCCCATCTATAAATACCCAAACATGTCCACATATAATGCTGTTAAAGACCATCAGACTCAAGTTAAGTTTTAGTTTGCTACTCATTTGTACTTTGTCTTATTAAGACACTTGACTACTCTGAGTTTTACTTTTCATATTTGAAGGGCAAAAAACAAAAAAAATGTGAACTAATCACTAGACTATTTTAAAAAGATCTTCCAGTCCTGGCAATCAACCACCATAACATTAAGTTTGATAATATAATATATTCATAAGTAGTCTGCATATACTAAACAATGCCTTAGAAAATATAGCATAACTATTTAAAGGCAGAGATATTACCTATCGTCCTGGTTTTTTAGTTAAAAATGATACAATGATTTTTTTTCAATTATATTATCTAATCATTGTTTATACTTGTCTCAATTTGTAAATGTTTAAGATAATATATGTTTTGCGTGAAGAAAGGAAAGAAAAAAGAAGTTCACAGTCCATAAGATACATGTTCTTTATGGTGATATTAACATGCTATTTTGTCAAAATCTTGAGTTTATTAAGCAGATTTTGTGTAAATATGCCATGAATACAGTATTATCAGTTTTATTTCAAAATAGAACCAAGATACCATGGGCATAGGTTGAGTATGGACAGGCTGCATCCTAAGTATCTTCTACTTTCAGAGGTATTCTGAAATACTTCTGAAAATAGAAGATACTTAGGATGTTCTATTCATTGTTGGAAGAGCCTGGAAAATTATTTTACCAGTTCCTGGTAAGTGAAACGGAATGTGTCTTTTAGCAGTCTAGGTATTTTTATACCTCTTTTTACTATTAATTCTATAAGAACCTCTGGAATTATCTTTCAGTGAGTCAACGCATATTTTTTATAATTAGAAATTATAGATCTAATATTTTATCAATGTTGTTTAAAATCTTGGTGTCACTTCATCTTATGTTTTCTATGTCCTAATTCTTAGCTACAGCCTTATTGAGCATCAGCATCATCATTAATACTAATAAACTTGAAATAGTATTTCATTGCTATATTAGTATAGTAGAATGCACAAGTGTACTCGAAGCAATGTGCATAGTTTCTTCAGAAGAGTTGATGCTTTTTAAATTTATACTTCAGCGAACATTAAAAGTATGGGGCATTATTATTTAGAATGTTGAATGTCATGATTTTAATTCACCCACAACATTATAAAAATCTACATATTTGTTTCTTTAAAACAAGTTGTCAGTTATTAACTTGTGCAATGAACATAGGCTTTGGAGTCAAGACACCTAAATTTTAGTCTTGCCTTTTTCACTAGTCAGCTGAGTGAGGTTATATTGTTGGAGATTTAATATATGCATTTGTAAAATGACAATATCTTTCTTAAAACCAGTTTATTAAGTTATAATTGGCATACAAATAGCTGCACATATTTAATGTATACAACATGGTGAGTCGGGAGATAGATATATACCCATGAAACCACCACAATCTATGTCATAAATATATTAGTCACTTCCAGTGGTTCGTCCTACAATGCTTATTTATTTATTCTTAATTTTTTTGTGATAATAAACAACATAAGGCGTACCCTCTATTTTTAAATATACAATGCCGTACTGTTAACCATAAGTACTATATTGTATATAGTAGCTTTCTATGACTTATTCATCTCATATAACTGAAACTTTGTGCTCTTTGATAATGCTTTACAGTCTTTTCTTCCCCTCAGTCCCTAGAAACCATCATTCTACTTCCTGCTTCTATGATTTTGATTATTTTAGAATCTTCATGTAAGTTGCAACATGCAGTATTTATCTTTCTGTGTTTGGCTTATTTCACTTATACAGCGTCTTCTAGGCTCATCTATCTTGTTGTAAATAGAAGGATGTTCTTAATTTTTAAGGCTGAATAATATTCCACTGTTTTATATATGTGTGTGTGTGTGTGTGTGTGTATAAATTATATATGTGTGTGTGTGTGTAACGTTTTCTGTATCCATCCATCTGTTGATGGGTACTTCGTTTGCTTCAATATCTTGACTTATTTCTGAATAATGCTACAATTACATGGGAGTGCAGATAACTCTTCAAGATACTGATTTCAGTCTCTTTCTTTGGATATATACCCAGAAGCACGATGGCTGGATCATATGGTAGTGCTGCTTTTAAGTTTTGAGGAACCTCCTACTATTTTCCATAGTGGCTGCACTAATTTCCATTCGTACCAACAATGTACAAGAGTTTTCTTTTCTCTACAGCCTCACTGACACTTCTTCCCTTTGTGTTTGTTTTATGATAATAGGCATTCTAAAGATGTCAGCTAATCTTTTGTATTGATTTGCATTTCTCTGATGATTGGTGATGGTGAACGCCTTTCATATATGTTTTTGTCATTTGTATGTTCTTAGAGACATGCTTATTCAGTTTCTTAGCCCATTTTTAAATTGGGTTGGTTTTCTATTTTCATTTTTATTTATTTTAATTTTTTTGCTATTGAGTTTGTAGGAGTTCTTTATATGTTTTGGAAATTAACCTTTATGGTATACAGTATCTTAGTCCATTTTGTGTTGCTATAAAAGAATATCTGAGACTAGGTAATTTATTTTTAAAAAGAGATTTATTTAGCTCACTGTTGTACCAGCTGAGAAGCTCAAGAGCATGGTGCTGGCTTGTGGTAAGGGCCTTTATGCTATTTCACAATGTGGCAGAGAAGGTGAAAGTGGAAGCAGACATTTGTGAACAGAGGGAAACCTGAGGGGCACCCTAGCTTTATAAAAACCCACTCACAAGAGAATGAACTCATTCAGAGAGAATTAATCCAGTCTCACTCAAGACTGTGAAAGCAGCACCAACCTATTCATGAAGGATCCACACCCATAACCCAAACACCTTCCATGGGGCTCCGCCTCCCAGTACTGTTACTGGGCTTTGGAGGGGACAAACAAGCCATAGCAACCACAGAATATGTTCTCTCATTCTGTAGGTTGCCTTTTTATTCTACTGGTGATTTTCTTTGCTGAGCAGAAACTTTGTAGTTAGATGCAGTCCCATGTGTATTTATACTTTTGTGGCCTATGCTTTTGGTATCATATAGCATAAGAAATAACATACAAGGCCAATATCACAAGACTCTGTTTTCTTCTAGAAGTGTGGATATTATTACTACTTCCCTTAGATGGATACTCTGCAGGAAAGAAATGTGTTGCGATTCACTCAGTGAGGCTGGCAAAATATTAGGGAAATATTAGAGAAAGTTGGAAGATTGTAGTCTCAAACCTTTTGGAAGGCCAAAAGGTTTTAATGAACAGGCTGAACACAGCCAGTTCACTACATTCGGATTTTAAGTCATATGGTGTGATTAGGATAATAAAGCTTCCCAGGTTAAGTCTGTTTACCCCACATTCCTTTGTCTCTGTTTACTTATTTATGCTGGATGGTCCTCTCAGGGGAAGGTCAAAGGGGAATTACCTGTAAATGGTGTTTACTCTGGGCCCCAGAACCAAGACCTTTTATCATTTGTAAAACCACTCTTTTAACCACATTAATTATCCACAGGAGTGTTGACTTGGAACCTCTGTTATTAAATCTATACTGAATAAATGTGAGGACAGGGAGTCATTGTCACTTAGCTGCAAATACCCTCTAAAAGCAGCTGATGACCATCCCTAGCCCACTAAAACTGTGTTCTAGTGTGTGTGAGTGCATTCATTCATCTGGTCATTAAGTCAGGGTCTGCAGGACAGACCTCTGTAGGTGGTGATCAGCATCTCAGGTGGTGACCCCAACTCGATGCCCGTCACAGCTGGCACCTGAGCAAGGACACTGATGTGACTGATGCCACAGAAATGGTAGCATTTAAGAGATGTATATGTCATAACGCAAATATTTATTTGTAGTGTAATAGTCCTAATTATCTTATTTTGACATAGTTTTATTCAAATGCTAATTTTATACTTCATTAAATGCCATAGTAAAAACTAATGTAGTTTAGAAGTTTTGTTGGGACTGTATCTTCACTTTTTAAGACAAGGTCTCACTCTATCACCCAGGCTGAAGTTCAGTGGCACAATTATGACTCACTGCAGGCTTTGAACTCCTGGACTCAAATGATTGTCCCACCTAGTCTCCCTCCTAGCTGGGACCATACACATGTACCACCACACCTGGCTAATTAAAAAAAAATTTTTTTTTGGTAGAGATGTGGTCTTGCTGTGTTGTCCATTCTGGTCTTGAACTCCCAGACTCAAGTGATCCAACCTCCACTTGACCTCCCTAAGTGCTTGGGTTACAGGCATGAACCACTATGCTTGGCCTTTCATGTAGTATTTTAAAAGTAGCCTGAAATGTTTCACAAAGAATATTTTTTGTTTTTACTGATTGATTGATTCAACAGTGTTTACAAAATGTTATAATGTCCTTGGAATGAATGCTTAGAATAGAATGGCAAGAAAAAAAGCAATACAAAACACAACAGCACAACCTTCAACCCTGGTCCTTGCTTTTGATGAACACATAATTTGTGGGAAAGCGAGACATTAGTCAGCTGACTATGCAGGGAAAATATGTCATGATATGTGCCAAGTGATTCAAATATATTATGAGAGAGTACAGTAGGGATCTAATTTATATTAAGCATCGCAGGGATTACTGGGCCTCTTTGAGAAAGTGACATTTAAGCTAAGTCCTACAGCAGTAGTTGTTTGCCAGCCCAAGGATAAGAATTCCAGCAGACACAGCCATGTAAGGTCCTGAGGTGGGAAAGACATGAGTGGGTCTGATGTGAGACGGCCAGGGATGAGCAGTGGAAGATGACTGAGGTAAACTTTTCCAGATGAAGGTGGAAAAGGCTGCTCAGAGCCCATTTGATGTTGACCTTTGTAGACCATGTTAAAGGTTCTGCAGTTTTCCTAAACACAAGAGAAAGCCTTAAAGCATTTTAATTTGTGAGCAACATGAAATTTTCATGTTTCAAGAATCTTACTCTGTCTGCTGAATGGAGAATGGATTGGATACATCAAAGAATGGAAGTGGGAGTAATGAATAAATGTCACTGTACATGTCTGGATGAGAAATAAGATTGAAACCGGAATGAGGCGGTGGCAGTGGAGCCCAAGTAAAGAGTTGAGCAAAATTTTAGAGGTAAATGGTGCAACTTGTGGTGGATTGGTTAAAGGGTCAGGGAAAGAGAACAGTTAAGAATGGCTTCCGTGGGCACTTGAGTAAATGACAACGCCACTAATAAGCTGGGGAAATTATAGGAGAAGCAAGTTTCTGGACAGATATTAAATGTTCAGATTTGAACCTGTTGGAAATGCCTGTGAAATGTCCAAGTGGCTTTATTCAATAGAACGTTCCTTATATGTAGAGTATTAAAGAGAGGTTTTAAAAATGTATCTGGTGAAATTAAGCATAAGGCATAAAAACAAAACAAAACTTTGCAGTGATGCATGTGTATTTCTAAAAGTACATAAATACCTTTCCTTCCAAACAAGATTTATTTTGTGCTTGATACAGATGTAGCACTTAATCCCTGCTAAGCTGTTAACCTGGGTAATTACAAGAACATTACTTTTCTAAGGTTATATAATTTTCTGCATTGCAATAAATCTTTATTTTGAATCAGTTGTTCATTTTGCAAGCCTTAAGGAATATAATTTGAAAAATTAAATTTAGCATTACATTTACCAATGAGCCAATAAAAGTTCATAGTTTAGTAATAATACATCTCTGACGTTTTGTTCACAGTCTGTTTGAAATAAATATATTTCATTTTTTATTATGCATCTTAAGTATACAGAATGTTTCTTGGAAGTTTATATTTTGGTCCAGGTGCTTTGGGAGAATGTGGTAAAGAGTAATGTTTTTCTATAAGAACAATGTCCTTAGAATGTCCCCGGGTTCTTAGAAAGCCATTCTCTCCCAACAGCATTTTAATATATATGGAAATGAAAGGGCATTCAAAATAAACAAACCAAACCAAACAGCTCGCCCTTTTCAATGCTGCTCTTGATTTTATAATTTGATCTTCCAGAATTATTATTTCACTGCTTCTTTAATAGTTAGAATTTTTTGTTCTTTAATCTTCAAATCTGAAAAGAAACATGATATGCATAGAGGTTTGAGGTGATAGTGATGTCCATATTGTCCTTACCTCTGTGCTTATTTTAATTTTCTTCAAAATGTATATTGTCACTTTGCCTGGCTAGAATATATTCCCTGCTCTATTAGAGATGTTCCTCTGATAGAAGTTATCACAGCTATATGCTAAAAGTAAAGTCAAATAACAAAGATAGCATGATGTTTTAGATACTCTTCTGGAATTACTGAAAGGAAATAATAAAAAATTTAGGTGTATCCTTAGTAAGTATAGATGGACTCTGTAAGATAAAGAAGTGATTAATAAGAGAATGCTTTTTTAGACCTTGTTGGCATTTTATCATGTAATATTCAAAATTGTAACCTCTTTGTTTAATCTGAATTACTTTATCACACTTCTTTCCAACATTTTAAGCTTTCCTGTTCAGTTTTACATATTACCATGCAAATATGTAATTCAAGTTACAGAAGAAAATGAGGGCACTTTTTTCTTGAAGCCCAATATCATAAAAATTGTTTTTAAATGTAGTTATTGATTTATTATAGTACACTTGCATATGTTAAGAAGGAACTTTCCTGTCCCTAGATTATAAACTGTGTGGTCAGTGTTTATCTTTCTTATTCCCCATCTAATCATCTGGTACATCTCAACATTTGATACATAGTAGGTATGTTGTAGATACTTAGTAAATTTTTTTAATGAATAGGAATTTTTTAAGTTTGTTTTAAAAATATGTACCTGCATAACTGAATATATGAATGAGGATCCTGCATATATAACATTGGGTACCTGGCGTCACCTAGCTTAATACCACTTTTCAAGGGGAAAATGTTAAAACTTTTTGAAAAGTAATAGTTTTGTACCTAGAATGAAAATTACCAGCAAAATTTTTAAAGTCCCGTAGTCCTTTAAAAAGCAATTTTATATTGTCTGGGATTCTCCCACACTTGGCCATTTGCATTAAAATGGTAAATTTGTTTTCTTGTCAAGTCTTGTTTGTGATCTGCAGTTTCCAATTATTTATAGCCCAGGTTTTGAACTATTTTATTAATTTTGTTTCTAGGATGCTGTTTTGATGCAATTTTGTGCAAACAAATTGGACAAGAAGGACTTCTTTGGAAAATCAGATCCTTTCCTTGTATTTTATCGAAGTAATGAAGATGGCAGGTAGATTTGTCTTTTATTCATTTTAACTATATGGTTATAATGACACTTGAATTATAATTATTTTTCTCAGGGAAGCTCATTAAATTACTAAAAGGAGTAAAATAGTTTGAGATTTTAAAAATTAATGGGATTTTTGCATCTCATTGTGCAACTTTATAAACATTTTATATGCTTTGATACTTGAATAATTTCTAGTTTCATGGAAATATTTCCTCTTTACTTTTTATAAAATTATAACAACTGGGTGCAGTGGCTCACTTCTATAATCCCAGCACTTTGAGAGGCCAAAGTGGGTGGATCACAAGGTCAGGAGTTCAAAACCAGCCTGGCCCACATGGTGAAGCCCCATCTCTACTAAAAATACAAAAAAAATATCTGGGTGTGGTGGTGTGTGTCTGTAATCCCACGTACTTAGAAGGCTGAGGCAGGAGAATCATTTGAACCCAGGACGTGGAGGTTGCAGTGAGCCGAGATCATGCCACCGCACTTCAGCCTGGGAGACAGAGTGAGACTCCATCTCAAAAAAAAAAAACAAAAATTATAACATTGACTTAATAGTATAGAAGAATTATATTTTGTGAAAACCTGAATGCCGAAAAAAATATATTTTTTATACATTTAAACCTAAACCATTTTCTTAGAGAAGGGTGTGGAGCTTATGGGTTGCTTTTTCTTTTCCCCCCAATATCCAACTTTCAATGAAAATGTTCATTATATTCTAGTAATTTGAATACTTTTGCCAGTTCTGATTAGACTAGTTTCTATAAATTTTTGAATATGTCTTTATGAGTTATACACCATAATTTAATATGTATGGATCTATAAAATATATTTGACTGCTTTTTTTGTGATTCATATTGTACTATTAGTATTTGTGAGAATGTTTAGTTGTTAATAATATGGCTAATTTCTGTTGTCTAGATTTAAATAATAATCTTGCTATTTAATAGCTATAGGACTAAGGCAACTTTTTAACCTACATGAGATTCCATTTTCTCCTCACCTGTAAAATTGGGTAGTAATCATAGCTACCTCACAGAGTTGTTGATCAGATTAAATTAGTTACTATATAAAAAAATTTCTAACTTTGTCCAACACATAAGAAGAATTTAAACATTAGCTAATATTGTTATGTTATAGTTAGTGTTTTCTTTTTTTAAAACTATGTGTAACATAACTAAAGAGACCATGTTATTTGGAAATTAAAAATTAAGGGAATAGAATGGACAAAAAATCTATCACTACTGCTACACTTATATATGAAACTATTCAATGTGTTATGTAATAAGTATAAAATACTACATAATGTAGAAAGTTTGCTGTTTAAATTGAATGCACTGGCCATTTTAAAATGATGGTTTACTTATTGGGAGATGTTTGTTGATGCAGCTGCTGAGCAACTGTTGGATATATTTGCCATAGTGTTATACTATTAGATTTTGTGTATTTCCCTTCTTTTTTCGTGGTAAAAATGTCAGCATGTCATATGCATCTGAACACTAATTTTATTCATATGAAAAATATTGGAGAGTAAAGGAAATAATATTTGGCCAGGCATTTCAAAAATAGAGAAAAACCTCAAAAATGATTCAGGATTTCTTGAATGAAAATTTTCTCATGAACTACTTGCTCCCTGAATTTTCTATTTTTACTATTATTAGTTTTCTCTGTAAAGATTATTTGTGCAGCTGTAAAGTTTCACTTTATCACATATCTAATGCTACCAGTGATACTTTCATTAGAGAATTTACTATGCTTTTAAAAATTATACTCACTCATTAAATAAAATCTAAACATTAAGAAAAATATGACTTATCAAAAAATATCAAATAATTTGAAAAAACTTTTTAAAAATTGGTGAGTCTCATTTCAGAAAACTTTCCATTTACACACAGAAACCTAGCTTGCCAGCTTGATCCAGATATTTTATGTATATATATGCATGCATATGCTTTGTTGTATTTTGAATATATACAGATGCTTTTATGCTTCACTTTTTGTCTCTATTTTTAAATGCAAAGATTCTACCTTTATTTATAATATTTATTTTATTAAGAAACTATTTTAAAAATTGCCTAATACCTAGTATATTTGTGACTTATTTCATAAGAAGGAGAAAAACTTAACTTCTACTGGAAGTATTAATTGAAAACCTTAATACTATATGATCTCATAGTCATATCTTGCTTTGACATTTATTTAGTAACGACATTGATTTGTGATTGGGTAGTACTTTTCCTTTGGAATCGTTATTTTTGGTAAATGGCCTCACTTAAAGTATCATACAGGTTTTTAGTAAAAATATATTTTCTTATAATACCGTTTGTAATACATACACACATTATATAGAAATACTTATGAACGTTAGGAAAAGCTACATTGGACTCCTGGCAGAATTTTTACTGGTTACACCAGGACTGGAATGCTTTCCAGTGAGGATTTGCTGTATATATCATATCTAATACATTAGAAATGAGAATGATTAATAGGCAATAAATGACTACTTGCCTCATAAATATCTCAGTAAGAAGGATGTCCCTTCCTTCAGAGGAAATGTTTCAAGTATCAAAAGTATTTAATTACTGCAGCTGGTGACATTGGGAATATAAGAGAAATTTTGATTTAACCATAGGCAAAGAAGCCAAAAAGTCAGTAGATGGTTGAACATGTTGGCCTGAAGATGGTCAGCTGGTCTCTCATTCTCTCTCTCTCTCTCTTTCTCTCTCTCTTTCTCTCTCTTTTTCTCTCTCTCCCTATTATCTTTCAAGCTATCTGTATTTATCACCGTATCAAAGACTTGCTATATGTTAGAATATGAAAGAGGAGAAACTCCCTTTGTAGACCTTTAAGAATGTATTGTATTTTTATGAATGGATCTTAATGAATATATTGTTTGTTTCTGAAACAAGCCAACATACAGCTCTGCCTTCCCTCTGTAATTTGTTTTCTATGACTATTTTTTGACAATTTTTGGTAACTCTGCTTTGTTTCATTTGTTTCCCTCTGTTCTGAGCCCCCACAGCCCTCCTCCAGCTTCCCCTATCCACTTTGATTTTCTTCCTCTGCTTTAAACATCTTCATTACCTTTCCAGGAGTCTTCTCTGTCTGCCCCTCTGTCTTACTTGTAATGCCTATTCCCCCAGTGACTCCTAATTGCTTCAGGTGAGTCACCTCTGAGAACATTTGAACACAATACATTTTCCTGGGCTCTGTCAATTTAATGACATGAGTTTCCATAGATGGGTGAGGATACTACCAGGAAGGAGAAGGCACTAATACCATCAGTCTTATAATAAAAACTTGATCCTTATATAAAATATTATGTTCCATCATATCTCTTAATAGAAACAAATCCCTCTTCCTTGAGAGTAGGTAAGTGAACTTAAAGATTTAACAAAGGGGATATTTCTTTGTGGGGGTTGGGGGAGTTTATTCACTATGGGATTTATTAATATTTTCATGTTCCGTGACTGTTAGATACTTGCATTTGAAACACTTCATGGCCTAGGTCTTAAGAAGGCTATGTTTATGTATTGTTTCAATGAAGATCACTCTAAATGTTTCTAGCTCAGGAACTGCTGCATCAATTCACACGAAGGAAGAACATATATCCAGGAACTGATTGATGTCTTAAGATTCAATGGTTTTGTGGAAACGCCACTGGAATTTGAATTAGAAAACTGAGCTTAAGGCTCCATGAATTCTGCCCCTTATTGTGAATTGCTGTCTTCCTTCCCTTGGGAATACTTTAGATATATAGAACCAACCGTTTAGATAAAGAAAGAACCACACACTGAATGAACTTTCTACAGATTCATGATGTGATTTTAAACTTAAATGGGCTCTCGGCACTCCCTGAGCATTCTACTCCTTTTCCTTAATCTATGAACATTTTCTTTATCCCAGACACTTTATCACTTATGCTTCATCCTCCTCCTTTGCTCATTATCATGCATCCTCTTTTATAAGAAAATGGTGACAATTGGAGAGCTTCCTCATGATCTTAACACAACGTCAACCCATGTACTCTGCCTTCCTGAATGTTCTTGAAGAATGACCGTCTGGCCTCTCAACAGCAGCTCCTCCACTGATGCCCAGGATCCCATCTACTCTCATCTGCTTAAAAGGCATTGCTCCCACCTTTCTCTCATGCATCAGAAGTGGCTTCCTTTCTACCAGATCTTTTCCGTTAACAGACAACCTTGCTGTTATTTCTTCCATGTTGAAAATAAATATTGAAAGTAATAACAACAAAACCTTTCTTGTAGTTAATCCATTTTTTCCCTTAAATTCTTCTAATTTCTTTGTTATTCTTCACAGCCAGACTAAAAAAATGTTCACACACCATGCCTCAGTTTCTCTTCTCCTTCTTAAACCTACTCTAACCAGGTTTTTCTTCCCAGCACTCCAACACAGCTGCTCTTCTCAAAGTTGCTGATGACCTTCGTATTCTTAGGGACTCAAGGATATTTCTCACTCCATCAGCATGTCACCACAATGCTTACAGAGATTGTTTACAAAATAGCTTTAGGATTTATTGAATTTTCAGATTGCCTTTGGTAAATTTATCGCAAAGTAGATTATGGTGAGCTGATCTTTCAGGTTTTAAAATCACATATCTCTTTTCATGAAGTGATGTAGCAGCAACAGCGTGACTGAGTATTTATTTTTAACAAAAAAGTAAATAGAGGAATGACTACTAAAACAATAGATCAGTTAAAATAATCAAATCATACAAATAACTGAAAACTTTTCTCTTTACAGTTTTACAATTTGTCATAAAACAGAAGTTGTCAAAAACACTCTGAATCCGGTATGGCAAGCATTCAAGATCTCAGTCAGAGCATTATGTAATGGAGACTATGACAGGTAAGAAGGACCATTTATTCAAAAATCTTCAAATAACTTTTTAAAAAATTTACAAAGATTTGGGGAAGAGGGATAAGTTGGCTAATTAAAATTTGGTTAAACTTATTTTCCAAAAATGAAAATGTGCAAATGCAAAAAATACATTAAATATTAGTTTTAAATTTTATTATTCAAAAGTTATTTCAGAATCTTCATTGCCTTAGCCTTTTCTATGGTACAGTCCTTCTAGAGAAACAAGTAGAAACACGAAAGTTTCAACACTGTGCTTAGATATATTATCAACCCTGAAATACTCTTGAAAATGTTATTTGGTAGAACTAATGATTGCTGACTCACAAAATTTCCATAGTTGTAGCACAGGAGATTTTAATGTTTTACAATTACCTGAGTGAGGTGGTCCTGAGGATTTTCCCATAATATACCTGAAGAATTTTTAATATCAAAGTTCTTTTTTCTTATGAAATTTTATTGTATGATTATAATATAAAATCCTTACCCATCCCAAAAGAAAGGCAAATAAAAAGTAAAAATCCCAATCTTTATTTTGTTACATATGATAGAAAAAGTCTACTTAATTAACCCATATTATAGAACTATTGATTACCAATATGTTATTAAGTTTACTTTGAAATTTATCATGTCACTTCATATTCTATTCATTTAGTAAGAGCATTCCTGTATTTAGCTGGACTCATTTTTTCCTAAGAAAGTGGTTCTCATAATGTTCTTCCTGATTAGCAGCATCAGTCAGCATCACCTGCTGATCTCATAGAAATTCAAATTATCTGGCTCCAGTCCAGACCTACTTAATCAGAAACTCCAGGAAAGGGTCCAATAATCCATGTTTTGACAAGTGCACCCCCATATGATTCCGATCTATGCTGAGTTTGAGAAACACTGCTTTAAGATAGCAATTTTCAAGAGTGGAGAAGTGGGTGCACGCCATCCCATCTAGGAGCTCTATCAAACTGCACATGCTTCCCCTGTAGACTCTTCTTACTCTCTTTAAGGAATCAATGAAGATTTTAGAAGCCTCTTTTAAGATGTGAATTGGAGTGTAGTAATGAAATTAGCAAAGTTAACATCAAATTCATATGTAAAACATACAAGCATACACTATTTTACCTAAGAAAATCAGCTTATTTTTAAATTCTCAGCCATACCTTATTTTGATCTTACTAAGTAACTTTATGTGTATGTTTTTTTCCATGTACAGAACAATCAAAGTAGAGGTGTATGACTGGGATCGGGATGGGAGGTAAGACTTTTCTTATCTTCTTACTCTTGAACTGGGTATACTTTAAGAGGCACATACATTGAAATAACCACATTTTTAATTGTAATTTTTAGAATGCGTATTTGTTTTGTTTTTCTAAATGTAACTGATGCATTTACATGAAATTTTAAGAATGAGTGTATTTTCTTCAACCTCGAGATGAAAATAGAGGTTTTTCTTATTTCCAGTAATTAGTAAAGATTTTCAACTTGGTTCTGATGATTCTGGATGTCTAATTATATAGCTGAAGTGAGTATCAAATTTCTGCATCTCACAATCTCTCCGAAGATTTCTATAACATTGATATTCCATGCTGTTCTAGGGAACACAAGCAAGCGTTACATTCCCCACCAACCTCTGACAAAAAAAAAAAAAAAGAGGCAAACCACACAACAATACTTAAACAAAACTTGAGAATTGTGTCTGGGGATTGCCAGACCAAATAGTTGTTTAGAGCTCTGCAATCACTGTAGACCTCTGCATATCAAAGTAGATATTAAAGACTTAAAGAGAGGAAACACACCACTTTTTCTTTTTCTTTTTTAAGCATATTTTGTTTCTACTGTTCTACATAGTATGATGATGTTTGCAAAATGATCTTAAGCCAAGGGACCCGGCAATGCTCAAATTCCATGTTGCCCTAGACAACTCTCTAGGTGTTCCCTGAAAGGGCTGAATATGCAGATATCAAAGAAGAATGGTAAATGGAAAAGCAAAGAGTACTTCTAATTTTTCACTTGTTGCATGTTCTAAACTGGAATCCATAGCTCACTGAGAAATGGAGCTGGAACATGAGGTTAAAGCTAAGCAATGCTTTTCTCTCTGCATTATGTACAAGCCAGAAACCAACGCCAAAGAGATGAAAGTGTCTGGATACCTGAACTCTCTTGTGAATACAGGAACAAGTTCAAGAAGGCTGGCCTGTGCTGAGGGGGCACCCCCTTCTCATCCCTTCTGCTGCATAGGCAGGAAGATTCTCATTGAAGAGCCACATGCCAGCATGTGTGTGACATTTGCCCGTAAGCTTACTCACACACATGGTGCCATAAGTGTCCTGTAATTTGATGCAAATAGTATTTTTTGTTTGTTTGTTTCAAGAAAAAAAAAAAAGAGAAGATGGGGAGAGAAGTGGAGATTATTATCCCACAGTTTAGCTGCTACCAAATAAGTATATAAGACTCAAAGATCTCAATCTTTAGGTTGTATCCCAAACATTATGCAAAAGAGTTACAACACTGATTTGAAGCTTGCTCTTAGAGATAACTTCATAATAATCCATGTTTTGCTACCAATCTTTACATTTATGCCAGGTATTCATTTGGTTAATTTATTATTTAGTTCTACATGCATTCTGGAGAAATCTTACCAGAAAACCTTGTGTTTTTCCATAGGGACTTATGCTCCATTGCTTCATTAAACTTGATTCACTGAGAAAATGAGTTTTGTTGCTCAGAATAATAGTAAAGGAAATAATGCCAATTTCAGTAAAGGACTTTATGCCCTGTATCATATAACCTATTCTATATTTTAATTGCAAATAGGCAAAAGTGATGGCTTTTCCCTAGTAACCCATTTCCCGTTTAGAAACAAAAAGTGCAGCTCACTACCAGAGCTCATTTAATCTTACATAAACACAAGATCCTTGAGACTGAAACAAATCTGACTGATTTTCAGTGTGAAAATATAAAAACTGTTTTTGGAGTCATTTCTAAACAGAACTTGTGTCTAATCCTAACGTAACAGAAATGTATGTGATACTACATTAGAGCAGAGTATTTTGGGGCACATGGGAAATGGTTTAAAACTTTGGGAAATGGTTTTAATTTAACCACTTATATATAGGGGGTATAAATTTAGTTTTTATCTGCATCCATAAAAATCCAAAATTTGCAGAAAATGTAGATATTATATTGTCTTCCTTCAAATGGTGAATTTCTGTGACTTTCCTGTTGTCTCCAATCTACTTCTGAGCCACAAGAATTTTGAGTAGCTTTGATCAGAATTATCTTAGAATTTAATGATCTTTTTTTCTGACTTGAGGACTTTGAGCATTCCTATTCCTAATACGATTTATTGAAGGTCTCTAACATGCCAGGTATTCTGTAAGCTATTTTAATGCTATTCCTTATTTAATTTTCACAATAAATGATAGGTACTACCTTAATTACCTTTTACAGGTAAAGAAACTGAAGCAAAGAAGTAACTTGCCTAAAGTCATAAAACGAATCAGTGGTGGAACCAGGGCTTGAACCCTGGCAGTCACTTCCGATAGTATTTTCATAACAAATGCACTGTGTTTTTTATAGCATTGTAATTCCTGGCATTAAGTGAAAGGCTTCAACCTGGACATTGAACTTACCCTGTGATACTTTGATAATTGCTAATGTGATAATTGTGAAAAATATAAGGAAAATTTAAGAAATAATCTAACAATTTATTTTATTATCTGAAATTGTATATTGTCTGAAAAAGTGGATAAAGCATTTCTTGGTAACAGTTCTTATGTAACTAGAAGTTAGGTAGAAAGAAATGATTGTTACAGATTCTGAAAGAATCCTAATAGAGATTGAAAGGGCCAGTAATATGTGAAAGAGAGTTGGCTTAGATTAAGAGAATAAGAGCTAGAATAAGAGGAAGGAATAGCAAGAGAAAGCGAGGGTTTATTTACAGAAGATTTGGGCCATTAGATGGGAAAAGTATTTTTCAACAAGAAATAGTAATTTACTTTTGATACATCAGATTTAGAAGCAAAGAAACTATTTAGATATTGAGATTTTATAAGCATATTTTGTCATCAGGTCATCAACGGCTGGGGGGGATGGGGAAGATTGGCAGTGGTGTAGGATGTCCTGATTTATTTTTAAATACTCATTTTACTGTACCATCATTAACAGCATGTTCTAAAGAAGTCTAAGGAGTTAAAGCTTGTTTGAAAATAAAGAGATGGGATTGGGATGGCAAATATTGGTGAAATTTAAACATTCCTTGGAAATGAATTATATGATTAGTAGAATCATTAGGGGAAAGGATTGTAATTTTGTAAATGTAAGTTTAATAACTTTTTAATGTTTGAGTAAAGTCCTGTTTTATTACTCCAGAAATGATCTATGTTTTAATGTAAAAAATTCAGTGTATAATTCTATATAATCCGTTTTCACCAAGAAACCTTTTTCAATGTTAGCAAAATGATCACTTTGTAGATGCAATATAAAAAGCAACATTGATAACCCTTTCAATTTAATAACATGTCTTATGTATGAAACTTGAAAGGCACATTAGTCTTCAATAAAATATAATGCATAACAGTTTTATAAAATCCTGAAATTAATTTTATAATTTAATAATAATGATCACTGTGTGGATATTTATACAAATTGATATGAAGCTTATGATTATGTGTAGTCTAATAACATGGTTATTATACTTTTTACATGTTTTTTTAATCAAACAAAATTGCCCAATGTAGATTTTTTTTAAAAATCAGAGTGACTATCATAGGACTCATTATATTTCATGATATAATGATCAACAGAGACTGTGTCCTATTACTTATTTTTGCGTTCCTGTTATCATTGATATTTGTCCTAAATCCTGTTCATGTATCATTTTTTACTTTATTTGTTGATCCAGAACTTTTAATTCTTCTTATTAAAAACCATTATTTGCTCAGTGGATTTTTTTTTGACAGCTTGAACTAACATTGTCTAATGGAAATATAATGCAATTCACATATAATTTTAAATTTTCTAGTGGTAACATTACAAAGAAAAAAATAGACCAGTGAGATTAATGTAGTAATATATTTTATTTAATCCTGTTTCCAGATTATCATTTTAATATAGAATTAATATAAAATCACTAAGAAAGATTTTTACTTTTAAAAAATACTAAGTTTGAAATGTGGTATATATTTTAGGTTTACAGTACATCTCAATTCATACTAGCTACATTTGAAGTTATAGCAGCATGTGGCTTGGGGTTGCCATAATGGATGGTGCTACATAGACTTTAATGAAGTCCATGTAATATGCATAATAAGTAACTTTATATCAGATGAAATGTTTGTCTACATTTATAGAAGTCTGGAATCATCTCCTTACAAAATGGGGAAGAACTACTCAGATATATGTACTATTTTGTGTATAAATTTAGTCATATAAAATCAATAAGGCAATGTGCTCTTTCAATCTAGAGAGAATATGTCAGTCAAATATTAAAGTGGCAGCCAGGGTAACAAAGCAAGATGCTGTGAAAAGAAATAAAAACATTGGTTGGGCATGGTGGCAGTGTGCCTGTAGTCCTTGCTACTTGGGAGGCTGACACAGGAGGATAACTTGAGCCCAGGAGGTTGAGGCTTCAGTTAGCTATGATAATGCCACTGTACTCTAGCCTGGCTGACAGAGTGTGACACCTGTCTAAAAAAAAAATGTAAAAAAAATAAAGTGAAAAATGCTTTATTTGCTTACAATCACATTTTGCTTTACTAGCTGGAGTATTTCAGACAGTTGTGCTAATAATATTCACAGATTGGGAACTTCATGAACTAGTGTCCTTTTGCGTCAGAATGCAGAGCATTTTTTACTAAATTCATCAACTAAAATTAATTCTGTTAGATACACCTTGTAAATCTATAAAGCATACAAAAACGTGGTAATGCTGTAGAGCATGTAACCAATTGACGTTAAATTAGGTATCTCGAGCTAATCTAGGATAGAAAAAATATAGTTATCTGTTCTTTTTATTGAAACACATTGACAAAGGTCTCAGAATTACAGAGGCATTGCTTGACCTTGGTATTAGTAATCAGTCGAAATGTATTTAATTTTCAACAAGTTAAACCACAATACTAAAATCATTACTATACTTCTCACTATTTCTTTTTTTTCTTTTTTTGAGATAGGCAGACCACTATTTCTTTAAAAGATGTTAAGGAAGAATATTTAAAGCTCATTTTAACAATTGAACAGCTAAAGTGCTGAGAA